TTGATGCAATATTTCTGTGGTCTCTACGGCTTTTAAATTTCTGAACGAAGAATTTGCCATAACGGTTTCCGTTCCCAAAATTTTGCTGGCAACACTAATTTTAGAATTGTCAGATCTCTGTCAGAATCTCCTTTTCTTTTGAGGTAAGGAATTAGGCTGGGAAATTTGATTATATCCACTCCCTCATTTAAATTAATTGTCGATCGTAACATCGAGTATACTTACTCCATAAAGAAGAACTTTTATAGGAGACCAGCTCACTATTAAAGTACGCCAATATACAGTCTTCCATGGTGCAATTGATTTTCTTCCCCCAGTACCACCTTCTGTATTCCCTGTATGCGGCCTCATATACAGTTTTCGATTTGCTTGGTAAAAGCATCTCTCTGGCATTGCAGGCTAATTGTTGTATACTGTTGTACCCATCAATTTCTTCTGGACTCATCTTGGGATTCATAATTAGGTACAGACAAATAGTTAATACCCAATGAAATTGACACTACACATCAACAGATTTTTTTCCAAACAACACGTATCTATGACAACACAAAAGGCACATTATGTTATTTCTGGTTATTAAATAGTGAAATCTATACCAAATTTCAGCAATAAAGTCATAGATTATGTACTTGTAACATAAATAGCTATTATAACGGGCGATCAAATATGAGTTGCTGTCAAGTTGCCTTTGGAAGTTCAAGTTACGTACGATTTCCCATGTAAAAAAAAATTCCAAATGTGACACGACAGCAACTCATTTTTGATCGCATAGTATACAGGGTGTTACATGACCGCATGTAAAAAAAAAATAGGTGATAGAGGGGAGCAAGACAAGCACTTTTTCCGAATAAACCGAGGGTCCAACGTGTTTCGTTTGGGAGCCACCCCCAAAGAAGTGGTGAAATTTGGATTTCTTCTTTAATTTTTTTCTCAGCAACCATAAGACCAGAAATATGGAAGGCTGCTAATGTTATACCGTTACCTAAGATAAACGAACCTAAATTATTTAAGGACCTTCGTCCCATCAGCATCTTACCAGTTATGTCAAAAATTTTAGAAAAAATAATGGTAGAGCAAATAAATAAGCATAATTATTACGCTTCATATCTTACCTGAAACCCAATCGGGTTTTAGGAAAGGTTATAGTTGTGCTACTGCCCTCTTGAATATAACGGATGATATACTGTCTGCTGCCGATAAAAATAGAACATCGATTTTGGTCATGTTAGACTATTCTAAAGCATTCGACACAATTTCTCACCAAATTTTGTTTAGTATCTTGCGATTTATTGGATTTAGTGCCACTGCTGTGGAACTTATGCCATCTTACCTCACTAACCGTTTTCAAAAGGTAATTTTAAATGGAGAGAGTTCTACTTCCTTGCCTATTATAGCTGGGGTGCCCCAAGGATCTAATCTAGGCCCATTACTATATTTGTTGTACACGTGCAACTTCAGAAATCATGTTAAGCATTGCAGGTATCACTTATATGCCGATGATACACAGCTTCAAATAGATTTTCAACCTGATAATGTGGCTTTAGCTAATAAATTAATTAATTCTGACATTGATGCTCTTGTAAATGTTTCTGAAAAGCACTGTTCAAAAATTAATGCAGAGAAATCCGTACTCATGGTATTTGGGCAACGTAAAGCTAGAAACTTAATTAAACAGGATGTGGACGTTAAGGTGGCAGACTCGGGTCTGCTTGTGAAAGAAACTGCCAAAAATCTGGGCCTGATTTTAGATGAAGGTTTGAAATTTTCCCAACATAAGTATTACTTCTTTATTACGGAAAGTGTATATAAATTTGAAACTTATTTTTAACCAAAGATACTGCCTAAGTGGGAAATTGTCTTTACCTCTGTATGCTGTCCTGCCCGTTTCCATCTTCGTGATCTCCAGATACGTACCGAAAATGAAGCGATTCATCCCTTCGTCCCATTTCATACGTCTTTTGGAGGTTTCCTTTGCGCTGGTCCCATCCACAAGCAGGCACAAAGGTCTCTTTTTGGCGGTCCTCCTCAAGTGGTCGTTGTCCTCTTCGTAGTATTCTTTCGGCTGTAAAGGTTTCGGGTATCCCAACGAGCGGCCGCCTGTTCACCAACTCGTCACTATCGGCTCGCATGCTGCAACGCCCAGCGATAGCTCCAGACGTGCCCTGACGCTCCTCAGGTAGCGGCATTTTTCCGAGGCTTTGTTATTATTATTATTATCGGTGTTTCTTGTGAGAACTCAGGTCTAGCCTGGTTAACTAATCGCACGGATTAAAATCAAGTAACGATTAGTGTCTGTGTCTGTACGTCGCTCGTCCGGTGAAGTTATGTCGGGTCCTAATAAAAAAATTAAAAAAATTCACACACGCACATTGGAAATCTAGGAATAGTATGTAATTCATACTTACCAACATAGCTATTGATGGGCACAATAGCCAACGCTATCAGGAAAGAGGAAAACAAAACAAAACAAAACAAAATCTATAATAATTCCTGTAATTTTATTAAATGGAGTTTATTGTGTAAGTGTTTCTTTGGCTTTGCGTTTGGGTTGAATACGAGTGGGTTGTGATAACGTGGTGTGTTTATGTGAAGAAGGAGTTTTGTGTTTTTTAACTGTGCTAGGACGTGTAACTTTATTCGGTGGACCTGCCTTTGTGGTACATCTTGCCTTACTTGTATTTATGGTGTTTCTTTGTTCTTGTGGTTGTATTTGTGTTGTTGCTTGGATTATTGGTGGAGACATTACGGTATTTTGTGAGCCTCTAGTGCTGTTAAGGTTGCTGCGTTTGGGTTGAGTACGAGTAGGTTGTGATAACGTGGTGTGTTTCTGAGAAGAAAGAGTATTGTGTTTTTTAGCTGTGCTATTATTATTATTATTATTATTAAGAGTTACAAAGATGAATGGCACGTCTTTGAATAGGTTTTCGGATATGCCCTATACGATTTTGAAAAATGTTTTTCAAAATTCTTACCACGAAAGGACGCACCACTACTTGGGGGTGCGAAAAAAATCTGATTTCGACGAAATTTGGTATGTGGGGGTTTTTGAACAAGAAAATGACGAATCTGGAATTAGTTTTTGAAAATTCTAAAAAAAAGTTCCACTGCAATTCTTGGCCGGACAACGAAAATGGAGAGAAAGTAAATCATCGGTAGCGCAGAGACAGTAAGTCTCTGTCGGTAGCGTTGCTGGGTGCATCAAATAAATCTACGTTATTAATTTCGATTTTCCACAAATGCCACTGCACATTAAACTCGTAACTCACTCTGCAATATCCGACATAAGTGTTGAGTTTGTGTAACATTTTTTTTCCAATATATTACATTTTTTCGCAATATTTTTAAGTTTTTCGCAATATATTCAATTGTTTCCAATATATTCAATTTTTTTCCAATATATTCAATTTTTTCCCCAATACATTCAATTTTTTCCAATATATTGGAAAAAATAATTTTATTATAATTTTGTGACCCTTAGACGCTTTCGTAAGTTTGCGTGATGTCTACGATAAAATTCTTCCCATTCCTCAAGTGTTACTTCGTTGAACTGTAGTAATTAAATCGGCAATTTCAAATTTTAATGCAAAGTTAGGAAATTTGGATCACAACGCAAAATTACGTATCTGTATTGTTCTTTTCAATATTTTTTCGCACTTTAATAATTTAGATTGGGTTATAATGTGCACATTAACTAGATTAACTAAATTTCACACTTTTACAGATCAGAACGGTTAATGCGCAGTCCGTCAATGTGCACATTAACGTTTTTCTAACATTAGCGGTAACGTACAGGGTGTTCATCTGAAAACTTCTTACCACAGATTTATCGAAAACCACTAATTAAAGGAAATAACGCCGTGACACACACGTCAAAAGGGGGACAACTTTTTAATCAAAAACTTCACCCCCTTTCAACCTCTGCCCCCCGGGGTCGTTCTCTTAAAAAATCTTTATTTCATTTATTTAATCGTAAAAAACGAAAGCAAAATATCACTTATTTGTTGCTATGGGAAAAAAAGAATTTATTTTGCTGTCAGTTACTTTTGTGACAATCTTGAGATATTGAAAATAAATATATTGATTCAGATTTTACTTCCAAAATGGTTTACACATTAGCCGAAAGAGTGGAAATTATTCTAATTTTCTCGAAAACGAATCGACCGATTTTAAAAATCCTTGAAAATAACGGGCTTGGAAAGACCTTTCAAATAAGCTATATTACTCGATACCACTTGTCATTTAAAACTTTTAAGGGAATGACCCTGGAGAACAGAGGGTGAAAGGGGGTGAAGTAGTTTTTGGTTAAAAAGTGGACCCCCTTGACAAATCTTTTGACGTGTCTCGGCGTTTTTTCGTTTAATCAGCGGATTTCGATAAATCCGTGGTGGGAAGGTTTCAAATGAACACCCGGTATACATTTTAAACAACAATGTAACGTGTAAACACAAACGTTCCTCAAATAATATGACCATGACTTTGATCGAGAATTAGATGCTGTATCATTTAGAAATAGTGGGCATGACTCAGAACAGTTATCCGAGAGAAATTCCGAACCTTGTAATACAATAGTTGTGGTTGTGTATTGCTACGAAGCTGTTTCAGCTACGTTAAGGCATCATTTTTGGAATTAAACTAGAAAGTAGGATAGATGACTACCCTATCAAATCACATTATACCATTTTGCAAATTACTATAAAAATGTTATTAAAACTACCTTATTTCCATCTAATGAAACTAAAACTAATGTGATTATGATAAGGTAGTCCATCTTGAACTTCAGAACGGAAGAAATCGCGAACTTTATTAGATATTAATTAGTACATAATAAAACGTTGTTTAACCTGTATAATTTTTATTCCACATCAGATCAAGACCTACGTAAAATTAGCGGTGCAACTCAGTGGGGTTGCACAACAGCGCATTGTCCCTAAGTATTAGTTGAAAATGCAGAGGCGTCACCAGACACTCTTAAGGGTGGAATATTTTATTACATGTTTTATGGAGTGATCTGGTCTTGAACTGCTATCATAAAACTCGCAGCTCTTACATAAATATTCATAAACAAACATTTACTTACCTAAATACCATACAAAATGGAAAAATTTCAAAGAGAGCCACTGCGCTAACCGGAAGGTGCTTCTCCTCTCGTGTCATCACTAACGATGCTAAACAAAAAGCTCGGTTATCAAACACACAATTAAACGTAACGTGCACCATATCAAAAAGAATTTCCTCCTTTACTAATATGATTTTCATCTCCTTGTGATAAAAGTGCTTCGCTACCTGAAAGAAGCAACGACAGACAATAAGATTTGAAATAGTATGATGGCGTACTTCTCTAATTTGACCCATTGTGTAGTAAACGAATCCTCTCCGTTTACTTCTATAATGTAAAGTTAGACCTTTCCTACTTTCGTTTTCGCATATAAAACTGGGCGCCTGCATTTTCGGGTAGGAAAATTTTAAATATTCATGTAAATTATCTAGTCCATTCAAAAAATCCCTCATATGTCGTCCAAGCACCGACAAAACGCGATCGTATCCATACTGAGCTACGAAGCTGACAAAGAAAACCCCCATTCCGTCAAAAAATTCCTGTTCGGTTACGTTTAATATCTGCAACAAAAGAGGAACAATAATTTTCGTATTTCTCAGAAAATTAGGGAACAAACGGCTTTGTATCGTGTAATGAGAATTTGCCAGTTTGGCATTTTAAGCTCGCCTTTTCCTTCCCAACAAAGGCTATACAATTATTGTTATATCATACTTTGATGTTTTAAAAGTTCGTAAAAATTGGCTTCATTAGTAGGTATCCATTTCCTGTGAACGCGCAATAAAGGAAATTCCATCACAGCTACACGTTAATCTTGGAAAAGGGAGGAAAATTCTTTGAATGAATGGTATACAGTAAATAATTGGCCTGTAACCCCAATGGTTTCATTTTATCCGTTTAGAATTAATTGATGGAACTCAGGGATATACTGAACTCGTCTATTTTAGTGCAGTGTTCAATTTATGCTGCACCAAGTATACAGGGCTTAGCGCGACGCAGCATAGGGATTTCAATGGTAATTTCTTTACAGTCATTTACTATCTCCCCTAAGTATTTTACAGCAAAAGTCTAAACACGTTTTTTTAGAGAAAAAAATCTGCATCTCTGTACCTCAGAGGTAAACTGTCCATTTTTCCCCAAAAATTGCTTTTTTATACTAAGTCACATACGTTTTGTTGTTCTACACGAAATATATGGATTTAGTATTGTTTGATGATAAACAACAGAGTTAGCGAATTTTAAACAGTAGGTACTAATTCAAAGGGCTGTAACTTTTGAACTAGCATCCAAACTCCAAACTGTTTGAAATTATGGATTCTACAGGGCACATTCTATAAGAAAATGTATTTTCCCGGTCGATGTGAGACAATTTTTTTTTCGATCCTCAAAAAAAGGCAGTGTATAACCTTCCTTTTTTACAAAAAAACTACTACACCAAAATTTCTGGGGAAACCACTATTTTTTATTAATTTTGGTGCGTAGAATCCAAAACAATTCGTACTTTTTCGATTAGACTTCTCAATCAAAAGTTATGGACTAGAAACCAATTTCGAAAGAAATTTCAAAGGGCTGTAACTTTTGAACTAGTAGCCCAATTTTGGAACTGTTTGAAATTATTGATTCTACAGGCCACATTCTATAAGAAAATTTTTTTTCCGGGTCGATGTGAGACAATTTTTTTTTCGGGGCTCAAAAAAAGGCAGTGTATAAACCTTCCTTTTTAACCAAAAATCGACTGCACCAAAAATTCTCGGGAAAACACTTTTTCTTATTAATTTTGGTGCGTAGAATCCAAAACAATTCGTACTTTTTCGATCAGACTTCTCAATCAAAAGTTATGACTAGAAACCAATTTCGAAAAAAAATTCAAAGGGCTGTAACTTTTGAACTAGTAGCCTAATCTTGGAACTGTTTGAAATTATG